ATGTTTGATTGGCTCATAAAATAGGCTTAGTAAATCCTTTAAATACTGATGTGGACAACTGTGCACGTTGGAAATTAATACTGGAGAGTGTATTGTAAGGATTACCTTGTCTCCAGAACAGTCACCCGGACACATATAGATTTCTGAATGTAAGGATTATTGTGTTATATGATTTCACTTTTATGTGTCAAAATTGCTTAGTTTTATTATTTCCCTGTCATTTGACTGTGGCCTGCCAACGTGATTTTAGTCATTATTTTCTCTCTTCATTCTCTTCTTGAAGTTTGAGCTATGTCAAAGTATAGCAACCAACCAGCTTCTGCTATGAATTCTATATTCTGGAAGTAACATTCTGTCAGAAAAAAAAGGAAAGTCTCATATTATTAGAGAAGAAGACTGGATTTAATGCATTATTCTTTTTCCAATCTCGCTGTACATTCTCAAACAAGTTGAAATGAAATATGTAATCAATGGTATTTATGTATGCATGTGCATGTGGGTTTTTGTTTTGTTTTGGTTTTCTTTGCTATATTAAAGAGGAGATATCAACAATGAGACATGGGCACACTTTCAAGGTTGATCTTCAGTTTATCTATTTTACATGATCGTGAACCATATCTAAGTTTTTAAAAAATGCTATTTTTATAAACATATCCTTTAGCCAAAGGATTTAGTGTTTTATGATTAAGAGAAAAAACTAAGTCTTAGTAAATAATTATTTCATTAATACTTTCAAATCCCATAGAATCTTAGCAATTGTTGGTAGCAATTGACAGTAGAACAATTAGATAAATCTTAGAATTATATTTCTGTATGATGCCAGTTCTGAAAAAAATCTTAAGACTCCTAATTTACTATGAAACAATTAGTAGCATATGCAGAGTTCTGCTGTTTTATAGTCAAAGAACATGGTAACTTTTTAGGTGTTCATTTCATTTAACCGTTATGGAATGCAAAACTATACAGGTTTTTTAAAGCACTGTGATGAATGTATGCAACAGACTTGCATGAGCATGTAAGAATTAATTGCCAGCTGTCTAGCTGCAAATCCAGAAATTTTTTTTGAAGATTAAGTTGATTTTATAAATGGATCAAATTCAAGAGAAAGTCTTCATAAAATAAGTAATAATGTGTTTATCAGCCGTTTTCTATTTGCAGGGCAGTGATTTTTGTATCAGAATATAAATTAGATTAGGCCAAAATTAAGATTGTTTCTTTATAAACTTTATAATTGTTTCTTTATAAACTTTGAACATCCACATGTTTCTGTGTTTGGTTAAAAACCCCTTTAAAACACTTTTAAAGAAGGTACAGGTAAATGTATAGTGCGATTTATTGTTTTACGGAAATAAAACAAAAATTTTATATAGTTAAGTAGCTATGTGAGTTGCTAATTTGAGACTTCTTGAACAGGATATTCCTTTATTTTAGGATGCCGTTTATATTTAGAAAGATTATAACAGTTATTTTGAAAAATAGTCTCAAGAAAATTTTTTGACACAATGTGTCCTGCCTCAGCAGTTTATTGAAAATTACTTCCTAAAGCACAAATCCAATGAATACATTTTGGTTTTTTGACTCTTTGACATCTCTTTGGCCCTTGGCACTGTTGACCATTCCTGCTTCGGGTGTAATTCCTTCTTCCCTAACGGCTTAGCTTCTGCACAATCACTCATGATGACGTTCCTCTTGTTTCTCTGACATTCCTCAGGATGCCCTTGGTAAAGGATCTTCTCTTGTGCCCCACACTTGAAATGTTATTATTTCTTGGCATTCCTCAAATCCATGAGGGTTCCATGTCTCCATTACTTCCCTCGACAGAACCTCCAAGGTTCTCCCTTGTAAGTGCAAGGAGAGCAAAGTCAGGCACCAACAGGGGCAAATATAAATAAACAAAGAGATCTGGGTGTTTAAAAAATATAGAAAGTAGATGGGGGTTTTTTAAAACTAGAAAGAACATGCCTCATCTAAAGCTGTTTCCATTTAGCCTCAGTTGCTGTGAAGACCAAGTTTTCATTTCTTTACTCATCCAATACAGATTTAAGATTAACCTTGTGCCTGGGATGAAGGTGCTGGGGATAAGAGACTAAAATAAAGAGAGCTTGCTCCAGGGCCTGACACTAATTCTGATTAGTCCTCACAGAGTCATACTAACGCTAATGAGATTTAGCATTCCGCAATCTTTTTTTTTTTTTTTTTAAGCCAGGTTTCCAAGTTTCCTACTAAATTCCATTTTTTAAAAATCTGAACTTGAAATTTTTAAAGAGAAATAGAGTCCATCAAAACTATGCCCATCTGTTTATAATGTTGAACTGAAAAATGATATTCTTAACATCTTACTCTGAAATACCAAGACCTTCTCACCTCCATCTATTTTTCCACCTTGATCTGCATCTACATTTTTTTTCCATCCTCTATTCACAATTGGCCATGCATAGCCCCTCCTTTCTTCGATTACATCTTACATATTGTGCTTCTCACCAGAATGCATTTCCGTTTTCCTCCCTTTTCATCCCGGTCAATCAATACTCATTGATAGCCCAAATGTCAAGTCCTTTGTAAATGAATCTTAATCTCACTGTATAGAATTACTCTTTCTCTTCCAGTATTCCACAGTATTTCTTACACGTGCTCATTTGAGTACTGATTTATCAATGTGTTTTACAGACCCAAAACCCAAAGAAGCTACAGTTACATATTTGTATCATGAGAATCTAGCTCAGCAGTTTGCACAAAGTCAGTGCTTCATAAATACCTGTAGAATGAGTGGTGGTAACCCACATCAGATAGGTTTACCTCCCAAACACAGATAGACAGATACTCTGTGAATAGAAGTTTTGTTTCACATGTAGACAATCTTGATGTAAAAATTATCATTTGATAAATGTGATCATTATCAACTGTTGTACCAAATATATTTGAAATATATGTGAGTCTGCTCTACCCAACTCCCCCTTGCCGTTACCACCCCTTCCCCATCCCACACACGGATATGCCAGAACTGCAGGAATTGTTACACTGGCTGACTTATGTATTTGTAGTTTATGACCCATAACTCAACATAAACCCTCTTTATATTTGTGTTTTCTTACATCTTGCTTTCATACTCCCAAGGTTTTGTTAAAAAGTAGGTCTGGAAGTGGGGGAGGAGTACAGGACAGAAATGGGGAACAAACTTTTGTGACTGGTAACTCTGTGCCAACAGTGCTCTAGGCACTGCACGTGTAATGCCTTATTTTTCCTTTTAAAAAATATTCCTGTGAATTAGATGGCATTATCCTTAACTTACCATTTTACCAATGAGGAAAATGAGACTGGAATAGTAAGTTAGTAAGTTACATGCATGAAAGAGTTTTAGATACTTCCTTAGGAAGAAGACTCATAACATACCTTGTTCTTTTAACAATGTTTTCTTCTGTATATTTAATGCTACATAAAATATATATTTTTTAGTTGTTTGGCTTCTACTGAATTTAGTTTTTTTTTAAATCTATAATTGGTTTTCAGCCATGTCAGACTCTCTTTTAACAAAAATTTTGCAATGCCCTTTTAGTATTCTAAAATGCATTTCACAGAAGCAATCAACTTTTTATACATTAAATTGTTTAAAAACTAAATGTAATGAACTGCATGCTATATAAAGATGAAATAATAGCCAGGTAATTTATATTAAAAATAATGTATTTCAATGTATAAATGGACAGTAACAACTTCAGTAGAAAAATAAAAGGAAGTAGTCAGTTGTTTGCATCTTTTAAGTAGACTCATTGTGAAGGTGACAGGTATATATACAGACTAATATGAATATGTTTAATTATTATAATTGAGTTGCAAATAATATAACCAGTATCCCTGTTAGTGACATGTTTTTCTGAAATAGTGAGCAACTCTTGGTAAATTTCCACACAAAATACAAATACCTCCCTCAATTTATTTGATAATTGAATTTGTTGAAAATGCATCTTAAACTGCCACAGTACAATGCATATATATGTGCATACATGAGATTATTTTAGGTTTCAGATTCAGATGAACTATAGTAAAAATTATTTTACCTACATGAAATGTCTAGAGAAATATTTTGAAAGGTGTGGGGAATATGAGGCAAATACTCATTTTCAGAACTTTCCAATATTGTTTCTGAACCCTGCCCACTACATTTCTGTAGTGCCTGTCTCACCCCCAATCATTGAGACAACAGAATGTTGCTACCGATTTCTGAAGCACTCTCATGGGACAATTCTGCTGTCAGTGAGGAACATTGATCTAAACCCCTCAAACCAAAGTTGGCATTTGTTTAAAACAATCATTTATTGCACATGTTTAAGATACTGCCTATATTGTAATGTAAAATCAAAGTATTTAAGAACTTTCTTTAGTTTCCTTCTTCAAGGATTAACAGCCTAAGTAAATGAGTCACTTACATATATATGTTTAATGTTAAAAATATGTATTTATTCAAAGAGAGAAAGAAGACAGTGAGGTGAGTATACCTAAGAAGGTCTCACCAAGGCTGTCCAGGACAAAGTGAGGTGTGAAGGTTATGTATGCAAGGAAGTGGCCCTAGGAAAGTTTGTGTCATGATGAAGAAGGGAGTCAAGGGTAAAAGAAACTCACTCTCAGAAACTCATGGGCAATAAAATGGGAATTAAGAGTGGAGTCAGACTATCATGTCCAAATGGAAATTCACTTCACAAATTGAATGTAAGATATGGTCGTTCTTTACAAAATATCTAAGTTTTAAGATGGCTACTTGGTGAATTTGGAATTTGTAAACAGAAACACAGGAGTACCTTAAATAGAAGACTGATATTTCTTCATTTGGAATCTTATTTTTAGTTGTGTCTTTTCTTTGGAATCTTCAACTATATGTGGCCAGTTAAATTTGGGATCAACTCATTTTTGTTTATAGGCCCATAGCTTTCATAGACATGGAATCTGGAATTCCCAGGACACCAAATCATGACTTCATGTACCTTTCCCTTTTGTCTTTTTTGCAGGTATGATTTTGTAGAAGTTGAGGAACCCAGTGATGGAACTATATTAGGGCGCTGGTGTGGTTCTGATGCTGTACCAGGAAAACAGATTTCGAAAGGAAATCAAATCAGGATAAGATTTGTATCTGATGAATATTTTCCTTCTGAACCTGGGTTCTGCATCCACTACAACATTGTCATGCCAGTAAGTACCACTTTGAGATTCCCTTATTTAATTGGGCTAGCTATTTGTTTACGTTTTTCCTCCCTTTTAAACAGAGTTAGAAAACAAATGAAAAAATTATTTTCCTAGTTTGGATTTCTTTTTTGCATAAATGTCATTGTATTTATCACAAATAACTTAAATGCCACCACTGTTAATCAATAGCAATGTCAAAAATTTTATCAATGCAACAAGATAAAATATTTTTACATTTGTAAGATTGAAGCATACCTCCTACCTCAAAATCACTGACTAGTATTTCAGTATTAGTGGGAAATTACAGAGGGATTTTCTCCTGAGAAAAATAAGAAAATGTGTGTTATTTATTACCTGTTTATAGTTTAGGAGTCAATATCAAAATTTAGAATGTCCTTCTGAATTAATTTCTAGTTTGAGCCATGTTAAGTAAAAAAATATATAATTTTATAGCATTTTGTGACCCTTTCTTATATGATACTGTTTTACATTTTGCTGATGGAACTATATTAGGGTGCTCTTTAAAGATGTAAATTTTGGAGATTGCGTAGTACTTTGTATTCTTATTTTCAAATTCAAGTATAGATTTTGAAATAACTACATTGTAGAGCTCGAAAGCCAACACTGAGATTAATACCATTTTAACTAATTTTATGTTCATATTGCCTTAAAAGTTTCTGTGATTTTTTTCTTATTGCTTTATAATTTTCTTTTGTGATCTTTGACTTTTTTCCCCATTCATATGGCATCATTTCTTTCTGTATCCATGAAATTTTTTGCATATGTTTATAAATATTGCATAACATTTTAATTTTTATTTTTTAGGGCAGAAAGGAAACTTATTAAATATTAATTTTTTAATCAATATATTTGTAAAATTAGTCATCTTCTTTTTCTTCTTTTCTTAATATTTGTCATTTTTTTAGTAATACTGATGGGCTTTTATACTCCCAAAAAAGGAATTTTTGAAATTCTCACTGAAATTTAAGAAATCTGCCTATTTTGTCTAATTATAATTATATTTTGTTTATTCCAATTGTGTGTATCTATTTGTTTTACTACAACAAAAATATTAAAAATGCTTTTGCAATTTGTATCTCATTCTGTTTATAATAGTAATTCAGAAATTCTTATACAATATAATGATTTCTTCTAGTATACCTTTTAAATATAATCAGTAGCAGTATAATTTAAAAGTTTTAAAAGTTGATATATTTAATGAGCTTGACAGAAGATTTAGTAAGTTAGTAGGCACACTGGGAACACAACATGGTTGTGAGCTGCATGCATTACAACAGATATTCTTAATAGGTATAAAAAGGCTGCACATAAGAAACCAAAAATTCATGAAGCAAATTAGAAAATATGAACTCAATATATAATTTTGTACATTCATTTTGCATCCTTAAGTAGAAGTTTTATCTGTCGATTGCTCAGAAGTCTGTGGAATACTCTCTAGGCAACTGATTAAAGGAAGGAATTTTAAATACTGGTTGAGAATATAGCTTAAAAAAAAGCAATAAAATGCACGCTGATGTTTGAAAATGATATATTTAGTAATGTTGGAATCATTGACTGTGCATGATTTAAGTTAAAGAAGTTGTCTCTAAAATATGTTACAAATTTATTTTGTAAATCTTGATCAGATGTCTTGTATATACAATTTAAGATAACTATATCTGTATTCCATTCTGTAATATTTTTGCTAGTGTAGCTTCTCTGCCATTTTCTTTGTTATTTTCCAGATTTTAAAAACACTTATTTAACAATTTAATATTTTTAAAATTTAATAATTTAAGCAGAAATAAGTGGATTGCCTGAGCCCGCGGGTTCGAGACCCGCCTGGGCAGCGAGACCTCGTCTCTACAATAAATCAAAAAATCAGCCGGGCGTGTTAGCGCATGCCTGTAATTCCGGCTACTTGGAAGGCTGAGGCGGAAGGATCGCCGGAGCCCAGCAGGCGAGGCTGCGGTGGCTGGGAGCGGCCACTGCACTCCAGTCTGGGCGACTGAGTGAGACTCCAACTTAAAAAAAAAAAAAAAATGTTAATAGTAGGCAAACATTTACATTTTTAAAAACACTATTAATAGGTAGTGCTTTGATACTGTGATTATTTGCTTGAATAAAGCCACTAAGAATCTATTTAACATACTTTTACAGTATCTTGCTTCACCAAACTTATAAGTTTTATTTATTTATTTTTAACCTAAGGTGGCCTTGGGAGCCATGGCAACACTTTCACAAAGTGGTTTGATTCACATTTTTAGTTTAGGTTTTAGCACATCTGAGGTTCTTACATATTTAAATATAGAATAATTAAATTGTAGATTAAAACATGCTAGTAGGTCTTTAAGAGAACAGAGGTTTTATTGATCTCAAACCTGTGACAAAATAAATTTTAGACTAAGAAGAGAATTTGCATTTTAAATAAATTACTCTCTTCATATCATACTAATTTAAATGTGTTTAAAGAGCAATCTACTATCCTGCTACAGAATAAAACATGAAAGCTAGAATATATATAGGCCACCTCTAAAGATTGTCCTTCTTTGATTTTATGAGCACACGGGTTATCTAGTGTATTCTAAGGAGTTGTCTAGATTAAGTAAATATGTAAATATAACACGTATATGTGTAATGGTGATAGCACCTAGCTTCGTTCTAAGTACATAACAGTCTCTCAGTAAATATTTGAATGCCAAGTTGATCGTGCAACACAGTCAGCCAGCTCAATTAATAGAGGATTCACCTTATATATCCTATTCACAAGCTTGTGATGAGATAAAGGACACAAAGATTTATTGAAAGTGCCACCCATCCTTTTGGCTAAGAAAGAAAGGCCTTGCCACCTGGTTTTGACCTATTATCAGAGATTTACTGTGACTGAAACCAGACTTACCTCTGAGAGATTTTAGGTCAAATGTGTTCCACTGCTTCCATCATTAAAACTAAATTCAGTACTTGATTTAAGTGGTTGTTGAAATAGTTTGATAAATTGTCAATATGAACTTTAGCGGGCTGTGTCTACTTTCCTGGCCTCTATTGAGCAATGAATTGACCTGTACCAGGCTGTAGATAATGGAGTTATGTGAAGAAAAGGCATAGGAGATCTTATAATTAAACTGACTGGGTTTAGGAAAACAGGAGTCCATGAGCTGGAAGAAATGTTAAATTATGATCCTTATTGCCTAATAAATGTAACTTGATAATTTTAATATGTTAAGATTGTTTTCTGGAGGAATTACTGATACATGAATTTTATAAAATCACAAACTTTGGTTCTTCTTTGTTCAATTTGCCTGCCATTTTCTCACCTGGTTGTTGTTTCAGTTCCATACATCCATCTCTCCTTACTTACAGTCACATTCATTGAACTCTTAATAATAGCCCGCAAAAGGGTGAGATTTGATGAGTGAAAATTTGACAAGTGATTATGCTTTTAAGACTTGCAGAACGTTTTGATTTATCATTGTATACTGCTAAATGACATCCCTCCCTCCACAAACCCTTCCACCCCCCAAAGTCTCCCCCCCTCCCCACCATACACACACACACTCACTAGCTGGGCCTAGTCCATCAATCTTATCTGTGTATCAGATGAAGAAAGCCTGAAGGAAGAAAATGTGCTCTTGGACAGCAGACTAAAAAGTTCTTGTGGCATTTGCTCAGGGGCAAGTGCCCCTCCAAGCTTCTGAATCATCTCTGACATCCTTGTTTTTTTCCCTTTTTACCCTCAATAAACTTCATAGTAGCACACCCAGTTCCCCAGAAGCAATGGTCTCACTGATTACAAACTCACTGCTGCAAAGTAGGACCTTAGGAGCCACTGGCCTTAATGGCTTCTTAAATTTGTAATCATAAAAATATTAACCACACTATTCCTTAGTAGAATATTAACATCTTGTATTGAAATTTGTTAGGGTCACCTAGCCCAATGCAGACACATTGCAGCAACTCATTAAGCTTTCATTGAAATTCAGCCATTTCCTCTTAAAGTTGGCTAAAACCCATATTAAGCTGTACTAACTTCTCATTTACTATATTTTTACCTTTGTTTTCGTCTCACAGTAGAGATGATTTATAGACTAGAAAGCTGTGGAATCATAGTAATGACACCAGGTATTCTCCTTGTCCTGATATATCAAGCTACATTACCAAAAACACATTCTTGCTTTACTTAAAGACTTGTTCTGGTTTCCCTTTTTTTGGTGGAGGGTAAGGGGGAGCAGTGAGAATTAGTAGCGCATTCACTGAAGTTAAAGAAATAGTGCTTACTAATGATTGTATAAGCATTCGTGTGTATAATCAGTCTTACCTGCTTTCTTATAATCAGCCCAATGACTATTTTGCATGTTCTTATGTGCAGAAAAAAATCTTTAGGCCGGGTTCCATGGCTCAGCCTGTAATCCCAGCACTTTGGGAGGCCGAAGCGAAGGGATTGCCTGAGCCTGAGGGTTCAAGACCAGCCCGGGCAACTTGGTGAGACCTCATCTCTACAATAAATAAAAAAAAAATTAGCCAGGCATAGTAGTGCGCCTGTAGTCCGGCTACTTGGAAAGCTGAGACGGAAGGGTGGCCGGAGCCCAGCAGGTCAACACTGGGGTGGCTGTGAATATGCCATAGCACTCCAGCCAGGGTGACAGAATGAGACTTCAACTTAAAAAAAAAAAAAAAAATTCTTGAAATTCTTTAATTCTTAAATTCTTTAAGTTCAGTCACATTTTTTCTAGGGAAATTTATTTTCTAGAGGAAGTTTATTTCAAAATTATTTATATTTTTAAAGTAAAGACATAATTCTGCAGTCTTTTTTGGGAGCATGGATGGATATCAGATTCTGGTCAGTAAAGACATAATTCTGCAGTCTTTTTTGGGAGCATGGATGGATATCAGATTCTGGTCAACCTTTAAAACTCCTTGGCTCTGATTCCATGTGTCTTAGTGGTAGAGCTTTAATACATTAGTTAATATTCTCAGAAACAGTTTTTGCCACACAGGTTTCCTTTAAA